GAGGCACAGTAGTGTCTCCTTATGTCTGGTTTCACCGTCCAGTTTCAATATCTAGGGTCAATACTAACTAAAAGATTATTAAGTAGAAAATTCTAGAAGTGAGCAATTCTTGAATTTTAGCTTGTGCACCATTCTGCGTAGCATGATGACTTGGTACCACCCAATGTTTCAGCACCTCCAGGGGACCCGGGATGCAGTCATCATGTGTAACAAGAGATGGAGTACCACATAATTTGCCCCAGTGTCCAAGTCTTCTTGTTAAACTGTTCCATTCGAGGTGTTGTGACCACATAACGAATTATCCAAGCCAAATATGAGAGTAAAAGAGAGCCGAGGTGACAGCCCCAAACAAGACACAGGGCACGCTGGTTCTCCTTTCAGCCTGTTACAAGCTCAGGTCCAGAGTTGTGAGAAAAATTCCTAGAGGCATTATCTGAGCCGAGGTCATCACAGCCAGGAAATGTGACTCAAGGCCCAAGAAGAACCATCTGGTGAAACAAATGTGTTTATCAGAGCCTGTTCTCTGCTTTTACTATTCTATGTGGCATTGGGCTGAATGAGAGCAGCTGTGTCCCTAAGTAGGCACCAGCGAATAGCAGAAGACATACAAACATAGCCCAGGGCCCAATGCAAAATCCAGCCGTCAAGTCTGAACACAACACAGAAACACTAGCATCGCCGCCCTCCCACTGCTCAGCCTGGGAGTCATTTGAGAGGAAGAAGAATGAAGTTAAGGAGAGAGTCTTAGTAGGGAAAAAAAATAACTTGAGTAAGAAGATTAAAAATTATTTAAACAAAGCTGAACTAAATGCACCTCCTGCAACCATTTGTCTCCTTGTAGGTCTGTGAGAAACACCACTGTTAGTAAATATTATAAAGACGGCTGAATTTTCTAGTTAACTGAGTTTAGGAGATAGCTGTTAAACCCTGGACTCTTTTGGATGTGGCTTGTAGTCAAGATAAGTACACTGTTCTCTCTCTCTCTCTCTCTCTCTCTCTCTCTCTCTCTCTCTCTCTCTTTTTCTGTATGTGCGTGTGTGTGTGTGTGTGTGTGTGTGTGTGTGCGTGCATGTTCAGTGGTCTGAGACACACATGTGGCTGCGCACACAGAGACCACAGTCAACCTCGGGGACCACCTACCTTGAGGACGTTTACTAGGCTGTCTGGCCAGTGAGTCCTTGAGTCTGTATTCATCTCCCAACACTGGAATTTCAAGTATGCACCATGCCTGACTTTTTACTGGGTGCTGAGAATTGGACACAGGTCCCCATGCTTGCATGGTAAGCACTTTTATGGCCATCTCCCCAAAACTCTCACTGACTTCTGTGCAAGAATATTTTAAGGTCAGCCCAAGCCCTACTTGACTACCTCTGTTTCATGAGATGTGGATATTAGCCCAAGGAATCCATGCCTCAAAACAGGGTTCAGGTATGGAAATACAATCAGAAAAGACAACTCTGTGGTTTTCTTAACATTGAAAATCATCGAGACTGTGAGTTTCCTAGCACTGATGTAATATGCCACAGACACTATTAGCAATAGGAACAAACTCACACATGTGGTAGCCAGGAATGAAAGTCAAGAAGAGCGCATGTTCTCTCTAAAGTGTCAGAGAGGAGGGCATGCAAAAATCTGTCCATGTCTCTCCCTTATTTCCGGCAGTTACTGGCAATCCTTGGTGTTGCTTGTAGCCACACTGCTTCACTTCCTGTCTGCCTGTCATGGCTGTCTATGTCTTTACAGTGGGTTCTTGGCATACTCAGCTGTATGCCTGAGGACAGGAGTCATATCACACAAGGATTTACCCATCTTCACTATGAACTCACCTTAACCAACATCCCGATTACAATTAGAAAGATTGCTGACACGGTCACAGTCTTATTTGGGTTTCTATTGCTGTGATCCAGCTAACGGCTGGCTGCACACCACAACTCTGATCTCAGAACAAGCGAGGCAAAGGCAGGCAAATCTCTGAGTTTGACAGAGCCTGGTCTACCAAGTGAATTCCAAGACACCCAGGGCTTTAACAGAGCAATCCTGCCTTCAAAACAAAACAAAACAACAATCAACCAACAAAATAACCCACCACGACCAAAGACAAGTGGGGAGGAAAGGGTTCGTTTCATCTTACAGTTTATGGTCTGAGAAAGTTCACGGACGTATAGAAAGACACCAAGTTATGATGAAGGCAGAGACACAGATGTGCCTGCAAGCCAAGTGACAGCATCACGATTGCTAGACACTATGGGATGTAGGAGAACTTTCTCTTCTGATGAGAACACCATCCATTAGGGTTATAAACCCATCAGCTCCAGAATAGACTTAATCCATGCAATTAATTTTAAAGAGTTAGTACACTTTTAATTATGTGCAGATGTCTGCATCTGTGTGTGGGAATGCGTATGTGTACATGCAGATGTCCTCGGAGTCCAGAATAAGACACTAGAACCCCTGAGGCAGGAAGTATAGGTGGTTGTGGGCTGCTCAGCTTGGGTGCTGGAAACCGAACACCAGTCCTCTGGACAAGCCTCAAATGATCTTAACTGCTGAGTCATCTTCCCACCCCCTTAGCCTACGTAATTATATCTGCAACAGCCCAACCCTACTAACAAACAATAGAAGTTGCATACTGAGATTCTAGCATGGATACAAATAGGGGTGGGATGGGGTTACACAATACAATCCTGTGTATTCTTCCTTACCCATACAAAGCCTTTACAGAAAACCACAGAGTGGTCATACGACCAACCTAAATGAAAGCATAAAATCTCTTATGAAAAAAAGTTTATAATCTGAAGCCATTTCAGATGGACAGAACAGTTGCCAAAATAGTACAAAGCAATCTTCTCCACCCTCCATCTAACTTATTCCTGTCTTATAAAACCATAGAAGGTTTACATAAAACCAAGACACTGGCATAGTGCTCCCACCTGAAGTGAGACACTGGCATAGTGCTCATCTGAACTGAGACACTGGCATAGTGCTCCCACCAGAACTGAGACACTGGTATAGTGCTCCCACCTGAACTGAGACACTGGCATAGTGCTCCCACCAGAACTGAGACACTGGCATAGTGTTCATCTGAACTGAGACACTGGCATAGTGCTCCCACCTGAACTGAGACACTGGCATAGTGCTCCCACCTGAAGTGAGACACTGGCATAGTGCTCCCACTTGAACTGAGACACTGGCATGGTGCTCCCACCTGAACTGAGACAATGGCATGATGCTCCCATCTGAACTGAGACACTGGCATAGTGCTCCTACCTGAACTGAGACACTGGCATAGTGCTCATCTGAACTGAGACACTGGCATGGTGCTCCCATCTGAACTGAGACACTGGCATGGTGCTCCCATCTGAACTGAGACACTAGCATAGTGCTCCCATCTGAACTACACACGTGCTGCTATTTCACCACACTTTCCATCAATGGCCTTCTCATTCAGGATCCAAATTAGAATTCTATATTGAATTCAACATAGCATTTTAAGAAAGGAAAAGATCAAACTTCCCTTACTCCCCAAGGATTTTAGATTCTTTCTCCCCCCCCCAACCCGCTCCTCCTGGGGCCCTGGGCCCTCCTTCCCATGCTCCCCACCCAACTTGAATCTTCCATCCTTTGCTGCCCCAGGACCTCACATCCTCTCTCAGCTATTTGCCTTTTCCTGGCTCTGTCTCATCCGTATACGTTTCCAGACTGGGTCCCATATCTCATCTAAAGTCAAGTTTGTTCTTAACAACCTTGAGGTCACAGGGCCGCCAGAGAACCTAACAACTCACAGACTTTCCTCTGGAAACAGTAGGGACTTTGTCCTCAGTCTCCTTCTTCTCTTACCAAGGGACAGGACAGGTACCTTAATATCTCCTCAGGCGATATTGGCTTGCCCCCACCCCGCACCCCGAGAGTAGATTCCTCATGAACCACAGCACATCTTACCATCAAGCCCCCCCCCCGACATTTCAAGATCCTGGACATCGTAGTAATGTTTTGGACTTTAGTTTTGGGGCACCCCAGCAACTCCAGCTGCTGCCTTGGGCTGAAGCCAAAAAATAACATCCAGGCAAAGATCTTCAAGGTAGCAGAACTCCTCCTCAAGCCAGCAGGGCTGCCAGTGTAGAATCCCCGTAAGCTGTCCTGGACCAGTGCTAAGACTGTGTTGTAGGAAACATCTCAGAACCAAACATAGCTTAGTTCACACTCCATGCTATCATGTGAATTTTGACAACGAAAAAATGACTGTATTATATGGAACAGTACTGAGAAGCTCTGCTAACTTCTGACCATCACTGGGACATGGCAAGGGGTCTTGGTATACTTCTACGTTTGGAAGGGACATGAGAAGTCTCCTGATGTGGAAACAATTATCAATCTGCATGATTTCTTAAGCACACACATCAGTCCTTCTGACAGATAACAAAGTTAAAAACAAACAAACAAACAGGGCTGGAGAGCTGGCTCAGCTGGTAAGAGCACTGGTTGCTCTTTCAGAGGACCTGGGTTCAATTCCTAGCACCCACATGGCAGCTCACAACTGCCTGTAACTCCAGTTCCAGGGGATCCAGCATCCTTACACAAGCATACGTGCAGGTGAGACGCCAATGCACATAAAATAAAAATAAATCTTAAAAAAAAATAAGTCAAAAATAAAAACCCAAACCTCTTGGCTCTCTGCTTGCTCATGCTTTATTGACAACCATTCCACACACCCTGCACCGGACCACTTCTCCTGACCCTCTTGGCTGTTGTCCTCAGCCGCACCTCACAGTCAAGGACAGTCCAGGCCTGTTCTGGGCTATGGGACAACTGCTGAAGACCTCTGAAGTCCATCTGCTCTAAGTGTCACATTTTCTCCAGCCAGGATCACCTCAACACATCCAGGGCCAACCGAATAACAGCAGGGTTGGGAGAACAAAGTGAGGATGATAACATATAATAATAATAATAATAATAATTCCTACTGACACAGCTGAGTCAGGGGAACAAGCCAGTTGCCTTACCTTCTGCAAATGGTTCCCATTCATAAAAACGGCCCATGAATGGCTTGTTGTTGTAGGATGCACACTGGACCTCCCGGATACTTCTACCACTTTCCGGACATGCCTAAGAAAACAGATATAAAATATGCAGTTAGGGGCCACACTTTTGTAATCTTTTTTTTTCTGATTTTATGTGCATTGTTGTTTTGCCATGGGAGTCAGATCCCCTGGAACTGGAATTACAGACAGTTGTGAGCCATGTGGGTGCTGGGAATTGAACCTGAGTCCTCTGGAAGAGTAGTCAGTGCTCTTAACCACTGAGTCATTTCTGCAGCCCCACTTTTGTGATCTTAGTATACATTTCAACTCTGAATAACAGGCCTCCTCCAATGAAACCAGGACTTCTGGGAATTTTCTGGTCATCTTTATTAAATCTTTTAGAGCCAGGAGTGTAGCTCAATGGGGACCATTGTTACTTTAGCCTGTAGTACCCAGTCTTAGATAACCTAGTACTGCATGAATAAACACATAAGCAAATAAAAAGAACAAATGAATTTAACGGCTGGGCAGATGGCTCAGTGATAAAGATCAAACACAAGGATCCTCAGAATCCATGTTTAAAAAGAAGAAACCGAGAACAGTGATACACACCCATAACCCCAGCACTGGAGAGGCAGGGAACAGAGGCTCTCTGGGGCTCACTGACCAGCCAGTCTGGCCAAACTGGCCAGGCCCATGTTCAGTGCAAGGTTATATCTAAAGAAACAGAGGGATAAGGCTCAGGGGACATTGCAGAGGAGGTGGTAGAAAGGCTGTAAGAAGGCCAGAGATATGCTGGGAGATTGTGTCTCCAAGTAATGTCAGAAGCTACCTCTGTCAAGACTCACCAACATGATCACCCAAACGTGAGCTGAAGAAGGATGCCACCAATGAACATGCCAGACCGGACAGGGAAAGCCTATGAGTCTCAACTCTACACAAAGGACTTAAGGCAACCGAGGAAATCTGGGAGTGAGAGAGTCGGTCTTCCCCAGGGAGCACACCAATTGGTTGTCTAGTGCCAAATGGTCAGCCTTGAAATATACATACAAGTAACATTATATGGACTTTATAGGTTATATTTACCAATATATATGCATACAATAACAGTTTGTGGTAAAAGAGGTCATTAATTTAGAGGAGAGTGGGGAAGAGTGTATGGGAGGGTTCGGGGGGAGGAAAGGAAAGGGAGATTATCAAAATAATTATCAAATATAAATAGATTATCAAAAATAAAAAATACTTAAAAAGATAAGGTGGAAAGCAACAGAGGAGGACATCAGACATTACCTCTGGCCTCCACGTACCCATGCACATACCTGTATGCATACCTGCATGTGTGCACACACATACACACATGATAAAAATTTAAGACTAATCTAATGCAGATCTTCAGGCTTCACTGCAGATTAGAATCATTGTGAGAATGATCTTTTTTTTCCCTTTTCTTTATACAAAGCAAAAACCTCCCAGGTTAATTTCTTGCAAACCACTAGCCAAGCCTTCAGCTTTGGACTGCTAAGTGTGCTTCTCTCTCTCATAAACTCAATCCTTGTGCATGTCCTTCATCTGGCATGGGACAATGTCACAGCTAACACATCCAGAGCCATAGACCAGGCCCTCTTCAAATATATATCACGTCACCCATTCAATCCTCATGGTTACCAATAGGTAAATGTCATAATTTCATAGATTGATTTTTTTCATGGATGGGCCAACTGAGGCACAGAGGTGACATGGAGCTTGGGGGGAACCTAGATTTCAATCCAGACAGGGTGGTGCCCACCAAATGTTCTGCTCTTCTTTGTTCTCTTGATCTTTTCTTGTCTGAATTCTGTCTACCCTCCAAAGCACAAGCTCCCAACCTCCAACACACATGAAAATCATCCAGTGATCTTGCTCCCTGGAGCCCTCCCCAAGTGATTTCTGCCTCACAACTCTAGGATGAGGTCTGTGAACCTGTATCTTATGAAGTGTGTCCAGGAGACTCTGATACCCAAAGGAAGCAGGCAGTCCCATGTGGCGTTATTTCTATCTAATCTGTAAATGGTGAACACAGCAGTGTGTGATATAAAATAGATGTAAAAGATCAGAACCACTAATTGGTGTAAAGTGCTGTCACTTCAAAACCTAGCTACACCATTTATGGTGTGTGTACATGTATGTATAGGGGATGTGTATGTCTATGTCTATGTATGTATGTATGGAGTATGCATGTGTGTGGAGTATGCATGTTGTATATGTATGTATCTCTGTGTGTACACATATGTTTATGTGTGTATACATATATTTGTATATATGTGTGTATTTATATGTACGTGTGTGTCTCTCTCTCTGTGTGTGTGCATGTGTGTGTGTGTGTAACAGAAGGGAAGGGAAAGGATCCCCCGGCCTCTTTAACATTATAAAGCTCTGTGCATAGAACTTTCTGGAATAAACTGCCAATAGCTCAAAATCTTCAAGGGTTTATAAAGAATTCTGCTCTATGTCATCAGAAGCATAAAATCTTCTGGAAGACGAAAGAACAAAGGGAGGAATGAGACCTAGCAGGAGAAGGTCATTCCCTGCTTGGTAGGGGATAGTGGAGGGAGCCTGCTGGTCCCTGCCCCAGCGTAGTCAGAACCTGCTTGGCCTGATGCAAACCATATTCCCATTTGAGGCAGAATGTGAAGGAATCTGTGGGTGGACAGGCAGTGCAGGTTGAGCTCTTACAACCCACGAGGGACTCATAGGCAGGAGCAGCCCATCTTCTAGGGCTCTGGAAGCCTACCTGCTGGCCACCCTGACTGTAGACATACATATGCTCCCAACCATAGCAGCTGTCCTCAGGAAAAGATCGATTTCATCTTTGAGACAAAGTCTCACATAGCCCATTTTAGCCTCATGGTAGGCATTATAGCCCAGGCTATCCTTAAACTCTCTTGCTTTCATCTTCCAAGTGCTGGGATTGCAGGCCTGAGCCACCAGACTCAGATGAGAATCAGGACAAAATGTTGTTCGTGCTCCCTTTCCAGAGTCAAGTATGATTAGCAAGTGATTAGTTAAGTGACTTGGAAAAGTCACCATCCCGGCACCAGTCCCCAGATTTGTGGGAGAAAACAAAACAAAACAAGACGCTAGGAACTTCTTGGGCTGGTGAGATAGCTTAGTGGGCAAAGGCGCTTGCCACCAAGTCTAGTAGCATAAGCTCAACCTCTGGGACCCACACAGAGAAGGAGAAAACTGTCCAGCTGGGCCCTCCAGCTCACTCCTGCTTGATTCAGAAAGCCCCACTCCTCCCTCCAAACTCCACCCTCTCAGAGAATCTTCAAGAAAGAAAAGTCCAGTTCTGCACTCCTGCGGCTGCAGCAGCCCCTCCCCTGAAGTTGTCAGCGGCCAGTCAGCTTTTGACCACACTTGGACACAAGCCCAGCTTGTGGAGGACATGCCATCATCCTTCTCCTATAGGGTGTATAACTGTCCTGCTTTAGTTCGGGCACGTGTGATTTCTCCTGCTTCCATCTCTGGGACTGGAGAACTCACCTGGGAGTCGCTTTTCTCAAATAAATCTGTTCTTTTACTTTTTCAATTCTGCCTGATCTGGCTTACTGCATTGGCGGAGAAAACCTTTATCATGATATAGAAAACCTATTAAAAACCAACTCCTGTAAGCTATCCTCTAACCTCTATATCAAATGCCTGGCAAGCACCCAAACACACACCAAGTCAATAAATAAAAATATAATTTAAAAAATTAAAAATAGCTTCTTGGGCCCTACCCCAGCTGCAGGTGAGGAGAGGGTTCAATAATGATCGCTTCCTTGGTGATGGTGTACAGCAGCAATAAAGAGCCACACCCACCCCAGTCTCCCTCCAGATCAATTAATCCAGAAGTGTGGATCTACAGGGAGTTAACCTAAGGCCCTTTAACCTACAGGTGTGAACACTGAGGTCAGAGAGTGATCTACTTTGCCTGAGATCCCACAGGACACAGAGGCAGGGCCCAGAGACTGACCACATCCACACCAGTCATTGCCCTGCAGGTTTTCCCCACAGAAACAGACCAGTACCAAAGGGACAAATATTCTGGTTCTTGAATAAGCACACCCACATGAAGCCGAGCTGCTCCACGGTGAGGTTTTGGCTAGAAGCCACCTTCATCAACCTGGCAGCACATGTCAAAACTGAAGGTCACAGACCGCAGAGACAGTCTGCTTCATACTTCTCTATGAGCAGAACAGTGGTTTGAATGAGAAGGCCCTTAAAGGCTCTTATATTTGAATACTGGCTCTCCAGTAGGTAGAACTGATTGGAGAGGGTTAGGAAGTATGGCCTTGGAGGAGGTGTGTCACGGAGGGGCCTGCAAATGCGTGCAGCTACTATGGAAACCAGTGTGGCAGTTCCTCAGGAAGATGGGAAGTGATCTACCTCAAGATTCAACTATACCACTCTTGAGCATATACCTATATTATATTTTATCATTGTTCCTTAGAAGTCTATTTGTTTTCCAATGAGAGACAGAAAGGGACTGGTTCCAGATGGTAAGGGAGGTAGAGAGGAACAGGGAAGAGAAGAGGGAAGAGAAAACATAATCAAGATATAATATGTGAGAAAAAACTATTTTCAAATAAAAGGAAAAAGGAAGGGAGGGAGAGAAGGAAGGAGGGAGGGAGAGAGGGAGGGAGGAAAGAAGGAAGAGAAAGAGGGAGGAAGGAAGGATGAATAACCCTGTAGCAGTCCTCAGCACTGTCTTGGAGAGGAAAAAACACTACACGATTTGTTAGCATACTGCTTCTTGGGGCTGGGGTGATAGCTTATTTGGTTATGTGCTTGCTCTGCAGGCATGAAGACAGAATTCATAGCCCTAAATGGGATGTCTACACCACATTCCTCCCCTCGAGGCTCAGGAATCTACGAGAAAGAGGTTGGGGGATTTTAAGAGCCAGAGAAGAATGAAAGACTTCAAGGAAACGTTTTCTGGACATAAAGGGCTGATACTATGTGGATTCCCAGTGGCCCTGACAGCACGCACAAGTTCATCCCTGACAGCACATACAGTTCATCCCTGACAGCACGCACAGTTCATCCCTGACAGCATGCACAGTT